TTTGATTTTTTCAGGGTTATCAAATCAATTTATATTATATTAGACAAGTCCGAACTGATGAAATACACCACGAAACATTGACAACCACCTTCAAACAAATGTTAACTATTTTGCTTATCCAATATTTTTCCTGAAAAAAGATTGGTTGGGTAATAGGATGATTTTTTTCTTAAAAAAAAACAATCGGCAAGAAACCAATTGTTTTTTCAGGAAAAAATTGATCCTGTAATGATATTGACACGCTTATTTGACTTAATTCCAGTCATACTAATCTTGATTGAATTGAAACATGTTCAGATCATCGACAGAAGTTATTCTCAGAAACTGGGAGAAAATGAAGTCCACATTTTTTTGATTATGATAGAGAAGTAGAAAGCCAAAATTAGCGTTCCACACAATGTTTTGGTGTGAGAGAAGTGTTCCCAATAGATTCATTTTAGCAGAGGTTCCAAATTCTACCTATCCAGTTGTGAAAGTCTTTAATAGACATTTTTCGTTGAGGAAGGAGTGAATGTTTTTTACTGTTTTCAAAGTTCATAACTTTTCACAATCGGAAAAATGAACAAAAATAAATAGATAGAAAATCTGCTGAAGTGTGATTAAAGGCAAATGATAAATTTCTCCCTGAAAAGTTACCACGTAATATGAAACTACTGAAGCGAACAATTAGTCAATAACATGTGTTCATAAATTTCTCCGGCAAATAAACATTGAATAGAAAATAGAAAATTTGTGTACTAAGCTTTCTTTGAATTTTTATCGTTTCGGAAAACTATCCTTTTCCATTCTTAACACCCAGCAAATTTACTTGAGGAAAGATAATATACTTATTTGTTTCAATTGAGGGATTCTCCATAAGTGGAGAAAATATAACTGGTTCTGATTGAGTTTTGAGAAATAAAGAGGTTAGTTTGACGAAACCTTAATCATCTTAAGAATGCTTATTTCAGAAATTTCACTTTTTCCATTGAATATTCAATCTACAGGTCAATTTTGTCAATACATATTCGCAATCGTAAAATTTATTTTTCAGTATGACTGATCGTTGATTGCGACATTGAAGAGCGGTTTCTTTTTCCAAAACTAATTGTCGTAAGAACTTCGATGATTTCGGCTTCAGAATGTCTCGAATTTCTATTTTTCATCCGAGAAAAAAAATAACAGACTAAATGCACAAAATGTGTTCGATACAAGTTATGGAGAAATTGAAATTGTTTCTACAACATTGCCTTTTTATTTATTATCTACATAAACGATTTATGTTATCATTCAAACACACATAATTCAATTACAGTCTTTGCTGATGACACTAATTCATTAATAGGCCGCGAAACATACCCTGAAGTAGTAAAAATAAGTATGGAAACGTTTAATGATACAAAATAATGGTTCACTAGAAATAGGTTAATTTTGAATGAATCTAAAACTAATCTTATATGGAGTACCAACTTGACATTGTTAAGTAGTGTAACTTGAGACGTACTCTTCACCTCTATGAATGCTGAATTATTGAAATGTATTAGATCTTTTCATTATTCCTTCATCAACATTGTAGTAGGTCGAGATTTTCCGACAAAATATTTGGTTGTTTCGAAAGTTTTGTCCGTTTTCATGAGTTTACTTCGAACTGTATTATCTAATTGCATACTTGTTCAATTTATTTAAAATAAGCGCCATTTGAATCAGTGCAATTTTGCCAACTTAACACAATTCGATATATTAGGTCAGCATCAAGTCCCCTGGTATGATGACGAAATCAGATCTGCTTCGAAACTCAGAGACAGGGCTCACAAATAATTGAAAAGTTCCGGCATTGAGGAGGAAGAGTCCTGGAAGCGATATAAACTGAGATGGAATCAAGTTGTTGATATTTTGAAAATTAAAAAGTTTCAATACTATGAAAACAAAATTGAGGCGAATAATGATAACTTGCGGGAAATGTGGAAAACAATGAAGATATTGATAAAAGGTGACAAACAATCATCAAATTTCAAATCTATCAATTTCAGTACTAATGGCGCTGTCGTCAAAGCGAGAACAGAGCTACAAGCTGCTAACAACTTCAATTCATTTTTTGTTAAAAGCATTGAAGATATCTCCAATTCTATTGTGAGTGTAAAAAAATGGTGTCCTCAAAATCTAAATAATATAGAAACGAGATTTTATTTTCGAAGTTGTACAACTATGGAATCGGAGGCTCTGCTTTTAATTGGATTTCTTCCTTCTTAACTGAACGTACTCAGTATGTACAAATTTCGGGACACATTCGTTAATTCTGAAACTAAAGTGGTTAACATGGGAGTTCCACAAGGGTCTATATTGGGGCCAATTTTATTTTTATTGTATACCAATGATCTTGAGAAATACCTTACAGGGATCCCTGCTACCATGTACGCTGATGATACTTCTGTGATAATATCGGACAAGGATGAAATTGCAGCACAACAGAAATGCGAACAAGTTCTCAGTTCTATAAACGAGTGGTGTAGCCTAAATTCTTTATATCTGAATGCAACGAAAACCCAAATCGTCAAATTTCATAATTGGCAAAAAAATTGTCTTTCATTAAATGTTTGCGTTAGTGACACACTAATATGTAACATAAACGAAGTAAAATTTCTCGGACTAGTTGTCGATGAAAATATGAACTGGAAAAGTCACTGCACTTATTTGAATAAAAGATTGAATTCTTTATGCTATATGTTCAGAAGTCTCAAGCAGGTCCTGGAGGAGCCTCAACTACTATCCTTATATCACTCCCAAGTAGCATCTCGNAACCTGTGGAAAACGGGCGTGTCGTGGAGTAGGATCAGACCAACATTACATCAAAACGGCAAAACTGCTTTAACAATCTGATTTTTTACATGAAGGAGAAGTCCAAGAGGTTCCACCAGGAATATTCTATGCATTTATGTACCAACATATCCATTTTGATAACTATCCTCGTTATTTTTCAACTGAATTGTGCAAAATGTATCAATCGAGTTATTACAAGGAGTACTCTTCTAAGAATTTTTTTAAATTAAAGTTTGCCAATAGGCAATTCAAAGGTATAAATCATCTTGTCCAAGCATTATCCCGAAGTATTTTTGTGAAAGATTTTATAGAATTCATTCACTACTTCGGTCTTTTCAAAAAAAATTATTTCATCATCCACCATGATTATTCTACAGTTAACAGTCGTCTGTGGAATCTTTTGAAACGTGTTATATAATAAAAAAAACATTTTAAAATTTCCACACATGACTATGAACATACGAGTATGATTCAAGCTGTGCCGTTTTCCGTTTATATTCTTTATATTTTTCCATTTCAGCTCATTCAGTTGCAAGTGTCTGCCCGGGTATGCTGGACCGCATTGTTCTGATGGCCCTAAATCTCTCTGCGATGCTTCTGGCCTCCCAACTTGTCGAAACGGAGGCACTTGTTTGTAAGTATCAAAATTCTAACTACCAAATCGTGTGTTTAACTTTTTAGAGAACTATTTCCGGCAAGGCTGTTGCTAATGGATGACTGTCGAGTTTTTGTTTTGATAGGACAAAATTACTATGAATAATATCCTTGTTGTTGACAATCGAGAAATCGCTGAAAATTCACTGAACAAATGAAATGCAATTTCTTGTAATTGAATTCAATGTACAGAGTAGGCCAAATTGGACACTTCTGAAGAGAAACTCCTGTTTTCAAACTGCATAGAGAAAAACTGATGGCTGTGATGGCTAGGTCAAATTTTATGACGAACTCAATACCTAAAACCTCATATCGATATCTATCATGGCTTATGATTTACAGCATGTTTTTCGAAAATGTGCATTTTTAATAAGTTGTATTTCCAAAGCGCATTTTACGTAGAAATGAATGGGGTGAAAATCTTATTTTTTCAAATGAGATATCAATAGCTATTGATGAAAAACTATTTTTTCAAATGAGGCACCCTGTATATTCCTGCATATTTCAATAGATTTTACAATAACCCAAAATGTAGCACACTTGATGTTTTGCTAGAGTCATCTTTAAAATATAGAGCTTTTAGTTTTTTTCATGTAGACTTTAAAACGCACACTTTGATCAAGTAACCTTTGGACGATGCGGCGATAAAACTGAATGCAAATCTTCACTGATAGCTGTCAAATTGATTTAAGCAGCAGAAACGCTCTTCAATTAGTGGTTATTGTTCGCAAAATTGCGACAGAACCAAATTGACGGTGTTCAATTTGAAAAGAAAAGGCTAAAATTATATGAATCAAATAGAGATAAGGAGTTAGAAGAAATAGTAGTTTTAAGAGCTGTTGAAAATAATCCCAAAACATTAACGCGAATTTGAAAATATCAACAAGCCTATCAAAAACTAACATTTGCAGAATTTTAGAAAAACGCAAATTCATGCCATATAGCCCCATAAAAGTTCATCAACTCAAACCAGGAAATTTTGAAAGCCGCACGGCTTTTTGCCAGGGGTTCAACGATTGTATTGAATTTCCTCAGTTTTGAAGTTGGAAACCTGAAGTTTTGGGTTAATAAAAATTATTGTAGCTATTTGTTTAAAATGGATTGTCAGAAAACTTAATGTGACAAACCACATTCTACGCGGGAGAAGCCGCGGCTAATAGGTAATAATTTATATTTATACTTATGCCAACTGCACTAAGTAATGAATAGTTTCGAGAATCAATCTATGTTACCTATAAATAAATTTTGCAAAACTAACACAACCATCAACGACGTCTGCCCGCGCTCGGGTAGCGTTCTCGGCGATTACGCTTCATTGTTTAGACCGCCCCTCCAACCTCGCGCACCGTCACCCGTTGTCTTACAGTAGACGCGACGCGTAATGGCTTACGGCGTTACATCAAGTTATTCTTATCACGATAACTTTTCAACGATTCGTCTGAATTACTTAGCGTAAAAGACAAACTTTATGCATAATAAATACATAAAACGACAATTGTATCAATTTTTGTGAGATTTTGACAGATATTCTAAAATGTGCATTGTAAAAAAGTACAGCTTGTCAAATATAGGAAGAGGTTTGAGATTTATCCCTATCTCTCTCTCTGTCTCTCTCGTTCTCATAGTATTCTAACGAACACACATGTGGGCGGGACCATAACCTAATTCAGAAACCTGTTCCTACATTTGACAAGCTGTACCTATCTAATTCAATTGTATTTATGGCTCAGTATTTTGCATATAGTGGCTAACTACCACATAAAGAGGTAGATATATGCTATCGCGGATTTTCATTTAGAACTATTTAACTTTCCAGTTGTCCCCGATAAGTTACTGCGTAAAATCAAAGTATTTTTCATAAAGAAACATCTTCTTTTCATCAGTAACTTGTCGTATTTGACAATTTTGCTTATCAAAAAAATTGCTAAGAAATAATACAATACTTATCTTAACGTTTCGGAGGCCAAAATCTGCCTCCGTCTTCAGAAATGGACAAAATAATTCTAAGATATTGGCAGTCATTCCTTTTTGATTATTTATTTTTTGTCTTATTCGACAGTTGTCAAAAATTTTCCTCCACAAAAAAATGACTTTCGTTGAATATCCTAAATAAATTGTTACATGAACATTTTCACAATGGTTCTATCATTCTATAAGATATTTTTCAAATGTGGTCAGGAACATTTCTATAAGTAATCCACATAACAATACAGTAATACGTGAACTTCCAGGTCATGTAGATATTTGTATTTTTTTATTTTTCATATCGAGATCAAATAAGGTGTTATTTTACACCTTATATAAAAGGTCTAGTTCATTTAGTTCGAAAGTTCTACTCAATTGACAAGTTATGGTTTTGAATAAAATCTTATCAACAAACTAGATACTAGACTGTTTTGAATATATTGATTTATTGAATTGACACTTTTGTTCAATTACAGACACGTTGGAGTCGCATCTGTGAAATGCCTTTGTACCCAAAACTTCACTGGAAGTACTTGCGAGAAACCCATCGCTGACATCTCACAAACAGGTAAATAAAAAACTGATTATACTGAATAATGAAAACAGAAAGTGTTTGTAGTGTAAGTTTTAGATGAAACAGTCTACCAGAATAAATTTTGCTTCAGCAGTTATTCGAAAGCATGGTGAATGGAAAGTGTTCATATACTCACGTTTTTTTATATATACTTTGAAACCTGTCAGAGTGAAAAAATGATAAAGATGTAAGCTATCTTTGATAAAAAAGTTATTACTTTACATGCATTCACATGCATTACAACAGCAATGAAACTGTCAGTCATGAAATTAACATCTGGGTGTGATTATTCTTGAAACATAGGTGATTGTCGAGGCCCAGTTATGTATCATTCCCAGGATTCCAATCACTATCACTGTCCTAATCGAATTGCACCCGTGGTATCGTATATTCAAATATGATTGTGATAATTATTGAAACTTTGCAGAAAGGCTTCTACTGTAGCGGTTAGCTTTCATTCGAGGTTGTTCATCTCGTAGTTTTATCAATCACAATTTGATTTCAAGCACTCTTTACATTTCTATTGATGATTATTGAAATTTCATTCACGTTCATAGTTCAGAGCCCTCGAATACAATTAAAACTGAGAATTATAATTTCTGTTGAAAACATCGGATATCGAAACAAACTTTTTCGTTAGATTGGTTTTCGATCCAACAAAATATTTCACAGCGGTTTTTGTTTGAACTCTTGAGATGTCTGCCTGCTTGTATACTGACAAATTTCCAAAATGAAATCGATCTGAATACGACACAAACTAGATCCACGCAGTTTGCTAACAAAGAAGGTTAGCTATTTTAGAACATTTCCATAATACTTACTTTTATTTTGATTATCACTACCGCTCAAATTTTGAAAATAGTTAGCAAAATAATTTTGCTATCTGTTTTCCGAGAGGGTATTTCTATTTGGACAATTACACTTACAAGTTTGATATGAATCACTACTGGGAAGGTATATATTATAGACTCCATTTTTTCCAAAATACTTCAAAAGCAAGCCATGGTCCAGGTCTACCTAAATTCGAAATGTGATAACGTCAGTTATAAGACATTGTCATATTTGGGTGAACCAACCAATAATGTTACCCTTTTTTCAATGCGTTTAATGCGTTAACGTAGGTTAAAGAACGAATAATAGTCTAAGTAAATTTATTGAGAACAATAAAGACAAAACTTCGGTGTCGGATAGATCAGGAGTATATAAGCTGACTTGTGGCTTTTGGCCGATACTGTATATTGGCCAAACAGGAAGAACATTTTTCCAAAGAATTAAAGAGCACAGAAGTAGTTTTGTAAATGGAAAGACCAATTCCACATTTGCAAACCACGTTTCATCAGGAGGACATAAGATCAATCATGAATACGACGTGTTACATTTAGAAGAGAAGAGTTTGAAACTCAATCTTCTAGAATGTTTAGAAATCAAGAGCTTCAATAATTCAGGTAAATTATTGATTGATCAATTAGAATTGAATAACGACCCGTTACTAAAAATTTTTTCAAATGTGGATACTGGGACATAAGTTTAGGTAATTTAATAATAAATCACAAACTAAGGTAAAACTCGGGTACTTGAAATGAAGGTACTTCATATTGTAAAATTAGGTATATTCATCATTGAATATGTAGAATATAGTGAGTAAAGACACGCCCGATGAAGCCACTATATGGCGAAACACTTGTTGCGTTTTTGTTAAAATCTCTTTAGTGGAAATCTCACAATAAAGTGTTTTTTGAATACGTTAGTTATGGATTTCCCTCAAGGATCGGCCAATTCCATCATGTAATTATTGATACGAGAGTTACTCATTCATTCATCTCTGTTTCTCCGTTGTGGTAAGTTTTAGAAAGCTGAAATTTGGTATATAGGTGCTTCTAGGGACTTAGATGCGCACTAAGAACGGGTTTTTAAATATTCCAACTGGGGTGCTCGCGTGGGAGTGAAAGAGGCGCGTTTACATATGAAAATTACCTTTTCATCATTGTTTCTTCGTACCGCTATATCTTCGGAGGCTGAAATTTTGTACGACTTCTGCGAAGTCGAATAGGATCGCTAGTGAGTTAATACATTTAAAATGTTTTCTTTTCAGCAAGTGTGTTTTTTCGATGGTTTCATCACAATTTGTCCCAATTTCGAAAAGATCTTCCTCACATATGGTGGTATCAGTATGATTCCAATATAAAAATTCTAAATTAAAACAGGTAATTTGGTCTTTTGTTCAGTTGATGACCTATTTATTCTGGTCTTTGCTCACAGACTAATGAAGACAACCAAGAAGATGACAGTAAAACGACTAAATCGGTGCGGTGCATACATGAAAGTGGCCGCCGCGTCGCTTCTTTGTGGTATTATATTCTAGGTACAATACTCACTACTAATAACATACAATTGATTCATTGTGAACAATATATCATTTTATAATTGACATCCATAAAAATCAACAACAATGCGTTTAATGAAATCTAATTGAAAAATGGTTCAATATGTCATTCGAGCAAGGAGTTTTTCCTGATGATTTGAAGATTGCTATTGTAAAACCACTATATAAGAAAGGAAGTTGGTCAGACATTAATAATTTCAGACCAATTAGTCTTCTGACATGTATATCAAAACTATTCGAAAACGCAATGGCCACAAGACTAACATCTCTCTTCTCAAACTTTAATATGTTTTCTAGTCATCAACACGCCTATTTGAAAAAGAAATCCATTGAGACAGCTCTTGTTAATTTTAGTAATGAAATTCTGGAAGCAATGGATATCCTGTGATATTTTCATGGACTCATCTTCCGATACATAAAAAATATCTGTATGAAAGAAGTACTGTCTACAGTGCGATTAAATTATTCAACTCTCTCCCACAGGATGTAAGAGACATTGGGATGGCCAGAAGTTTTCTGAAGTCTGTGAAAGAATTTTTATGCAATATAGAGCCTTATACTATAGATGAATATTTCAACAGTTTATTTCAAATTTTATTCTTATCTCATCTTATCTTATCAACTCTATACTTATATGACGTGTTATATTCAAATTTTGTATCTTATTACTCTTTTGTAATTTCGTTCACTAACGTATTTCTCGGACAAAATATTTCTTTTAACTTGTATACAAGATTTATACTCTCTAGAAATAAATGAATATCTATCTAGTGTGAAAAATTGAAAATATAATTTTTTAAAAATTCTTTTCCTTAAAAAATCATTCATTTTCCAGAATATTTGGTGAAAACTTTTGAATCTGCTGTAATTTTTAATCGAAATAAAATTCTAATCAAATAACATAGGCTTTCACGGCTGGAATCACGATTGATGTGCTGAGACTTCGATATATTACCTTCGTCCTTTCAGCCAACGTACATAACACTGATGATTTATGCAGCACTTACAGACGAAACATTTGGTATTTCAAGTTCTTTTCAACCATGGCCTACCAGCTCAGATTTTGTTCTCATTGAAATTTTGATGTTGAACTTTGAAAAATATTCTATTTTCAGCTTTAAATACTCCTGTGCTGTGCGAAATCAACAGTCAAACATTTCTTCTACATTTTTCTCATTCAACTTTTTCCTATATAGGGTTCAATTTCAGTGGAAATAATGAAAAACAATTTTCCATCCTTAAAATGCAGCCTATTTCATGTTATAAATGTATTATCTTTCTTGTGTTTCTAACAGGCTTCTACACTGTTTTATATAGGGAAACAGAATTCTCAATCTACTTCATTTTTTCCCATCAAGTTTCACAGTTATTTTCAATTGGACCTTGTCGTGACCTCCATTTTGTTGAGATTATAAAAACAAAATGTTCCCTGGTCGAATATCAATTGCAGACAATTGTCTTCATGCTCCGGAGTCCGTTATTAATTAAAGATGAAACGATTAATCTTTCTGAAACAAAACACTGCCCAAGAACTTCGCGACTCTGCTTGATATTTAAATGATAAATTCAGCTGATGCGTGAGAAAGCTGCAAAAATATATTCGATCGATAAAGAACCCAGATGAAGTTTAAGATGATATCGAACCCTTACAAAAACATCTTTTCCGAAGACCTACTTGAAATACGTATAATTTTGCACTGTAAACTAGTACAAAAAATTAGATATTTCGCACTAGTGCGAAATGAATATTGCACACGATCTCCTGCCATTACTAATACAGTTAACTAAGTATCTAATTTTTACTCATAACATATCAACAATGACATATCTACAAAGGATTCCATAACATTATAGTGTCAATGTGATTTATTGAGTACATAGGTAGCGAATCATATAATTTGTTCAGTTTTCTTTGATACAATCACAGAATAGTAAACAATTGTTTGTAAACTTTTCGATAGGGCCTTGTCGTGACACCAAACCAATTAAAAACATAAAAACGGAATGTCCGCCAATCGAATATTAATTCCAGCCACAGTCTTCATGCTCCGGGATCCGTCGTTAATTTAAGATGAAACGGTTCATCTTTCTGAAACAAAACGCCGGCCAAGAACACTGCGGCTCTGCCAATTATTTAAATGATGCTCAGATAAATTCAGCTGGTGCGTGAAAGCTGCAAAACTAGATTCGAGCGTAATCTTTGACTAGTGCCTGCCTACATCGGCTTATCTGATGAAAGCTTTGTGCTCTCGTTTCCAAAATGTTTGCGGGTTGTTTCGAGATATTTACCGAATCCCATTCGATTCGCTTCCGATAGTATGTGTAAAAAGCCCATTTATCGGATTTGCATGTCATCCGATCGGGAGAGAAGGATTAACTCTCCACTTCAATCAAAGGTGGCGGGTTGATAAATTGGGTTTTCCAATACTTGATATTCGGAATGATTTTCCCAGGTGGTTCAGTGGCGAGTGATGAGATGAAATTCTAGGCAGTTTATATAACATGACCTTAGAAATCTATATTATTTTATTGTGATAGGTATAGTTGTGACTTCAAAATGAATCGGATGAAAACATTTTTCTCCATACCATGATGCTAACCAAGCATCAGA